ACACCGGCTTGCTCAGCGAGCAGGGAGTGGGACCCGGTCCAGCAAAGGTCCTTGGAGGCCCAGCTTCTTTAAAGCTGTGCTGGGCCACAGCCCATTGTTCGTAGACTTTGTCCAGAGACAGCCAGGGGACAGAAGTTCCCTCCCCTCGGGGCTGGCCCCATGCGGTACTCCTGCCCGTTTCTCCCTCCCCGCAGGTCTGCTCACGGCCACTGTGGCGTCTCGAATCCACCGAGCAGCCCAGCCTGCCCTCCTCTACTTGGTGCCATTCACCTTACTGCCGCTCCTCACCATGGCCTACTTAAAGGTGGGTTCTCCTTTTGCTCTGGGTCCTGACGCTGCGTCCACCTGCTTCCAGGCCTTAGCAGTCGGTCCAGATTCCTGCAGGCCCTGGCAGAGCGTGGTAGTGAGCTAGGCACTGACTGCAACCCCAATTGGAGCCCTGGTGGTGTCATGGGTTACACGTTGGGACTGCGATCTGCTTGGTCGGCAGTGCCAAACCTCCAGCGGCTCTGCAGGAGAAAGCCTGGGCTTTCTACTCCTGTCAACAGCTACAGTGTAGGAAACCCACAGAGAGGTCGCTGTGAGTCAGCATGGGCTCAGGGGCAGTGGGTTTGTTTGGTTTTTTTTGAGTTCGTTGTCACCCAGCAGGGCTTGACGACCAGAAGTCATTAAGACAGGCTGTACAGTGGGGAGGCATGTTGGATCCCAGCTCGGCCTTCCGCGGCAGATTTTGTTGTCATCCATTTTACAGCTGAGCACACTGACACAGGCTTGCCTCCCTCACGTGACTCGGTGTCAGAAGCCAGTCTGGAACCCAGTGCCCTCGAGTAGCTGGCTCCTGGTGACCTTGCAGGATAGGGCGGCAGTGCCCCTGGAGGTTGCCAAGGCTGAGGGCAGAAGCAGCTGCCCCGTCTTTCTCTGGCAGAGCAGAGCTAGCTGGTGGTTCCAACCACGGCCACCAGGGGGCCTCTTCGCGTGTGCTCTGCTAAGAAGGGTGGGCTCCTTTCCTGTGAGAGCCCTGGTGCAGAATCAGGGAGAACGGGGCCGACTGGGGTGCCTCCGTCGTCCCACCTTACCCAAGCTCGCTCTCTCCCCACTCCCAGGGTGACCTTCGGCGGATGTGGTCGGAACCATTCCACTCCAAGTCCAGCAGCTCCAGGTTCCTGGAAGTATGATGGAGCCCACCGAATGACCCGAGTGGCCGTCTTGGTCCTTCCCGCTCAGCGGGCGGTGTTTCGTCTTAGAGCGGCCTGGTGCGCGGAGGAACCGAGGACGGTGACTGCATTTTGCCTTGACGGGGCTGCTGGGAGGAGAGGCGCTGGAGCCCGTGTGGCGCCTTCTCTCCAGGCTGTGCAGAAGGAGCCCCTTCCCGAGGAGACAGGCCCTGGCGCGCCTCCCTCCGTTCCTAGGATCTGTGTCAGACTATTGCCCTGTGGGGGAGACGGAGACCCGACTGGCTCAAAACTGAACACAACGACGACGACAGGAGCAGTCGTTCCCAGCCTCTGGAACACTACAAGAACGGGGCCTTCGCAGACCACGTTTCTGCAGAGAGCCCTCAAGAACACCGGACCGGTCTCTTCTGGGGACTCGGTCGCTCCTTAGATTCGTCTTTCCTTTGGGGGTTGGGGTTCTTTTTGTTTTTTTTTTTTATTATTAAATATTTTCTGTGGTGTGAAGTGACTTATTAAACCCACAGACGTTGAGTGACTTCTTACAACATACACGTAGGAATCTTGTAACGAGCTCACGTCCACTCCCGATGATGTCGTGTTGGCAGTGAACAAGGGCACGGTTTTTATACAGACGCGCACGTGCGCACACACCAAAAACAAACCCATATGGCTGTATATGAAGAAACAAACGTTAGAACCCGCGAGACTACGCCGTGTAGCAGACGGGCTTGCTGTCACTGTCCGCATGTAGAGCAGCCCACTGCGGCTCCTTGTATATGGCTCCACTGCCGCCCCTTCCCCCACGAACCCGCAGTGACCAACCAGTATAGCATTGGTACCGATAGACTCATGGACTTTTAGGGGCTCGTCCCTGGTTTTGATCAGTGTAGCAAATTAGGGATGAAATGCTTAAAACTCCTTACCCCC